CCCTCCCATTGGCTCGAGGTGAATTCTCAGGAGAATATTCTGCTGCGTTCTCACATCAGCCCACTCGGACAGCCCACTAGGGGTCTGGCAGGAGAAACTCCGGGTGAAGTCCGAGTGAAAAATTAGGTTGTTTGCGTTCACACATGGCTCCTCTAGCAAATATCAGGAGTTGGGCTTTCTCCTTTAGACAGCTTGCTTCTCAATTGGCTTGACTATCTGGGGGGGGGGGGTGTATGTGTCGGGGGTTCCCCTGCACACACACATAACACAGGGCATCCTTCCAAGCAGATTCACTCACTTAACAGAGCTCACACGACAGGAAAGTCTAAAAAACATGTATTTTAATCCTTCCAAAAAATCTGGACTCTGCTGACTCAAAATCTGACAGATTATGATGTAGTGTGTACCCCACTAAAGTCATCAATAAAATGTCTCCAATTACACCAATTTAAGATTTATGGAGTATGAAAGTAATCAAGTCCCTCTTACTGCTCACATTTCAGAGTTGTTATCTAAAAGAGTTAGATATGTTGTTTCTTCTTTAAAAAAAACAAATAAAAAAATGGTCCGTCCATTTGTCCTTTAGCATTTGTCCTTAAGTTTCCTCCTGCTGCTTTGGCAGCGTGTGAATGTACATGAAAGGGATTAGTTATTACTGACGGACATTTTACATAGCAGCCTCTGTTAAGACAGAAGGATTCACATCAAAGCTGGCGTTTTGAAACAGAATCATTAAATAAACACTGGCCAGAAATCTTAATGCCTATTCATTCAGAAGACATTTGAAATGAGGACAACCCACTTAGCACTGTGTGAAAGAGAGCTGTACAAATGTAGTCTGACTGAATCATCACCAGCTGCCAAACAGGCCTCTGCCAACAACTAACTAAAACATGGCCTAACCTCTTGCCCGCGGACTACAAGACCACCTGGGTCAACGGAGCACGAGCACAACCCTGAAACACGACCGCAGCCCGATGCGAGAAATCATCATCAAAGACAAACAGAGTCGGCTGCTCTCCCCCCAAATGTTGGCTATAAATACCACAGGATCCTTAGCATTCTCCACCACGACAAACTGAGAGAGTCAGGGATCAATAATTTATGCGCGCAAGAGAAGTCAGATTCAACAAAGCCTACAGACAGAAAGGGAGCGTAGGGTTTGTTTACAAAGCCATTTCAGAGAAGGATGCCATTGATTAATCAGTGCTTGACAGGCATGTTGAAGAGGAGAGAAACATTTTGTTGAACAGGAGAAATCATTTTAAGGACTGAAACAAGTGTATTTTTATACCAGGCTTTTTGAAAAGCATAGGAGAGAGCGTAGACAGAGAGAGAAACAGAGAGACTGTATTCGTGAATTTTGCAGCAACACTTAAGTCGTGATGAATTGTAGAGTGACTGCCAATCGCAGTGGCATGGCTTCACACATCACTATCTGTTTTATTTCTTCACGCAGAATCCTGGATGGCCATCAGATTCAACTCTATGCCGTGCACATCGAGCAGCCGGGCATTAATGACTGCTCTTTTACCCATTGTTTAAATAAGAGTATGAAGAGGAGAGGAGTAGTTCAAGATATTAGACATTAGACTCAAAGCCGTTTTGGTTGATTTGCTTTTCTAAAGCCTGGTTCACACTGTGCGATTTTTCCCCGATTGTATAAAAGTCGTGGTGGCATGTCAGCTCCCACTGTATGACTGAATCGTTTACGACGCCCGGCCAGACCTTGAGATGTACGTGCTCACACTGTACGACCTGTTTGTCGGCCGGAGAGCTCACACTGTACGAGTGAAATTGGGACGGAGCGTTGACAATTGTTAATAAAGTTTCATTTGAAAAAAAAAACAAAGGACGACAGTTGGTGAAAGAGAAGGAAGTGGAAGTTGTTGTAGGATACAGAAAAGTTAAGTTAAAAGTTAAAAAAAACAAAAAACGCCGGGTTGCGTCCTGCCGCTGGTTGCCATGACTACAGTCCCCCCTTGTCTCTCGTGACACACAACTTCTGCCGGACCCTTTCATGACATAATCGACAAGATTTTAAATTCTAAATATCAAACATGTTTGAAATAAATCTGGGCGTCCCCGACGATCTCCGAGCAGATCGGGGAAGTTAAGATTGGATCTTTGTACCGCTCACACTACAAGAGAATCTGAGCAGATATTCGGGTCTGAGCAGCCTGGAGTCGGGAGAGACCCTGAGATTGTCGGGAAGGAAGAATCGGAGCTCAAATCTGCCCGATTATCCTACAATGTGAGCCAGACTTTAGCTACACTGGATGGAGGAACCAGCTGAATAGACATTATCTGGTAGCTGTTATGTTTCTGTGTTTGCTTATTGTTGTCTTTTTAAACATTCAGGAGACACAAATAAACCTCAGCATCCATTTGTCATGGTTTTTCTGTATATTCACTTTAGTTCAGACTCCACTAAATGCTGAGGAGAATATTTGGCAAAGAAGTTGAACATCTGACATTTATCACTAGGTTTTGTAGACCAGAGAGTTTGATAAAATAGAGATTACAAACAGGATCTGTACATCAACAAGAGGTCCAAGCAATCCAGAACCACCATCTTCTAGTGTCATCCCCTAAGAGATGCCCAGTATGATCACGGTCGTCTCTTGTTACCCGCTGGGAGCTGCCCACTTGCAGGCTTCCACCGCCCTCGCTGCGTAATCAGAATGAAGGTCGATTTGTAGAGTTCATGGGTGCAGCGCTCCCACAGCTCCGAGCCCCCGTTGGTTCAATTTAAAATGAGTCGACAATACAGACTGAGGCTCATTTTGGCTCAGTGAGCTAACACTGAAACAGAGCTGATCTCTCTCCTCCTACTCTGCACTGCACTGTGTTAGTGTGCGTTGGTGAGTGTGTGTGTTTGTGTGTCCCTGGCCTCATCCTGACAGAAAGCAGCATCCATCACAGCATCCAGTCTCCACTGGCACATCCACTCAGGCTGAGGGATGATGGTAACGCCCCGTAGCTTAGCTACAGACACACATAGTACACACATAGCAACACACACTGTTGGTATATGTTACATATGGTCGACATGAGATATCTTACTTAGACTGGGATATGAGTCAGTCATCATCGCCCACCTCACATTTGAAGGATGGATGATTATGGTGCAGTTAAATTTATGATCATAGGATTGATCAGCACAACATCAGTTGCCTGTGTGAAGCTGCTAACATACACCGATGCTAATGTGACATTCAATCTGATCTTGATGAAGCTAGGCACGATTATTATCATCAGCAGGTTTATGTGGTGATTTAAGTGCACCACACAGATATTTTGTTGTCTTTCCTCAAGAAAAACATTTCCTCCAGACACACATCCACTGATCTCTATTTTCTCTTGCCGAGCCGACTGCATACATATTCAGTTAAACTCTGGCTCTGGGGTATTTTGATGGACCCAATCTAACTGGAATCTCAAACCAGGGAGTCAAAAGATTAAAAGAAACGTCACATTGTTGTCAAGAGATCTAGGACAGATACTGCATTCTTCCAGACATTTATTTTAGCTTATGTATTAGCCTGACTTGAGATCTCTGTCAGAAACCAAACAGGAAGTCGATTATATTCATGAAGAGGTTAGTAACTGTTAAAGTCCTCCTACTCATGTTATTGACCGGAAATCACTCCTAATTAGCTCTTAACCAGGAGCCATAAACCATTTGAGTACAGACATGAGCCAGAAAGCCTTTTCACCTTCAGGGAAAAGAAACAGTGTTGAACAAATGTCTCATCATTACATCACGATCAGGGCCAGAAACAAAAATGCTGCTTTGTTTGTTAAGACAATGCTGTCTGAAAGAAAATGATGGCTGCTGCTGATCTATATAAAAGCTTTCTGCAGACTGAAGCCTTACTTTTGTCAGACACCTGCTTTACAGAGTGAAGTATTATCGTTCTTTAAATATGTACCTGAACAGGAGCAAAGACATTTATAGATCTGTAACTTGCATCAGAGTCTAATTCCCATTTCAACATATTCCTAATTCATTTTTTTTTTAAACTTGGACTTCAAGCCTCTCAAATCTAAAGTGTTTTCTATGGACAAGTGGTCAATGACTGACATGCAACAGTGAACAGTGTTTTTCTTGCCCCAAAATCCTCCTCCCTTCACTTATATGACCTGGTTTTGTAGGTTTTCTAAAATTGCTTAAATTAACCCACTGTTTCCGACGCATACAGTATTTTATGGTGGTCAGAAAAAGTGAATTTTTGATTTATTTATTTTTTATTCATAATTTTTTTAATTGTATATACTTAAAAATCCCGCTCTGTTATTGAGAGATATCCTTCTCACACACTAAATACACACATGCACAAACAGGACATGTGGAAAGCAGTAGTGGAGAGATGTCAGAGTTGCATAGGGCTGCTACACACTGTTACGCAGGGAGCACATCAGAGCGGTTGGGGGTTCAGTGCCTTGCTCAAGGGCACCTTGGCAGTTCTCTGTAAGTGATCTGGCACCTCTCCTGTTACCAGACCAACTTCTGTATTATAGTCCGTACCGGGACTTGAACTGGTGACCCCCTGGTTCCCAACCCAAGTTTCAACGGACTGAGCTACAACCGCCCCACAAGGAGGTTAGCAAGGAGAGGAAGGTTGAACAGTATTTAGTTTACGACTTATAGCTTTGTTGGAGGTGGGATGATAAGAAAAACAGACACAAACACAACACTAAATGAATGCTGCAGTTGTATCTGTCGGTTGATGATTCTTGCACTATAGGCCTAAAAGCCTATCAACAAATTAACTAAAAAAAAAAACCTGCATGCAGCTTTAAATGACAGACTTCAGATCCTGCACTGACAACAGGATTTCATTTCTTATTGAAAAAAAGTTTAGGTCCAGTTAAGAGGACTAACTTTTATTGAGAGAGTTGGAATGTCAGACGAAACCTTCTCAGCATAGAGCTATCTGTTTAGGGCTTAGGGTTTAGTCATGTGTGTAATTGAGTATAGGTGTGAGGTGTCTTACCCCAGGGCCTTGAGGAGATTCTGGAGGAGAAGCTGGTGGAATGTATTTTCGCCCTGGAACACAAGCAACAAAAAAAAGAACAGTTGTTTTAGGCTGAATGGACAGTGTAGCCTATTCATCAGCATATGGCTTAGTTATGTACAAACAACTGCGCTTTAATGTTTTACAAGCTCAACTAACAAATGTTAATGTAATGCTCCGCACTGTTAATTATATAGTGTGGTTAGACATTGAACGAATATTAGCTCTAGAGAGGGATTAGAAGCTGACAGTTAAATGTCACCGTCTCAGATTGCTTTCTTGTTGATTTGATTTGCAATCAGGTGGTGACATCCTGGGTAATTAAGAATACAGCCTAACACTGTGCTTTAAATGACTTTGGCAAAGTAAAAACCTCCACTGAACACTGGGACTCCCAATTACTTATCATCAGTAACAAATCTATCCAATTTCTCACCGACCAGGAGACAGAGATGGATTTGGATGTCACGCTGAGTTTAAAGTCTAACAATGCTGCCTGTAGTTTTGGTTGGTAGCCATGGTAATGCTGAACTGAAAGGCGTTCCAGCATCCCTTTGTCCTCCTCTCCCACACTTTCTCGCTCTCTGTGCTGGCTTGACTGGCCTTTTGGAAATTGCTTCAGTTGCCTTGGGGTGTCTTACTGTAGCTCCCATCTGTTCAGAGAACATGCACATCGAGTGGACACGATGCAGGGCTTACTGGCTCCCCCTCACTGTGTTACAGTGCTGGGAAAATGTGCTTCACCTCATTAGCTGGACTGATGGCAATTGGCAGGTTATTTGTGATCAAGTAGAGGCCTTAATGGCAGCTAAGAGAACTAGCAGATGTGTGAGAGGTGGACTCCACCCACCCATGTGTGATATATGTGTGATGGGTAAAAAACATCAACAAGGGATTCCCCTGAAGAAGACACAGTATACAAAAAAAAGTGTATGAAAGTGACATGAAATGGATAACCACCTGACAGCACCTCAAGAGAAAGTACACCAAGAATGTCAGAGTGGTTCCTTCTTCAAAAACATGATTAACAAAGGATCTTGTTTTTTTCTCACACATTCAAAGGTTGTAAAGAGTCACAGAGTTCTTTCCAAATAAGTAAATATTCATGCATCAAAGGCATAACCCTCTGGAAATCCAAATTGGCTTAAAAATATCTGCGATGAAGCGCAGCACATTTACAGGCATGTTCATCCGCCCACACACAAAATCTTGGAAGAACAAAGTCAAGGATGATTAAGGTGCTAAAATCAAAGAATGACATGGATTCATTAAAGCATTCTCCTCTGAACACTAGCCCAAATCATTTGGGCAAATTCTGCCAGGACGTGAGCACTGATTAAAATATCATTAATAGACTTTGCCAACGGCCTGCTCAACACACCCGTGAAGTAGGCCCTGATCAGCGCTATTCTTCTCTCCCAAAATGAGTTAGCAGCATCATTAGCGGGAAAATCAGTAAAAGTACTACCGGGGTCCACTTAAGTTTTCTCTGCTGTCACTGGGATTGAGTGTCTGATTGTAGTGTTTACTACACTTTAAATTAATTCACTGACAGGCAGGCAGCAAATCAGCAGTTTGGCTTTCAATAAGAGATGCAGACAGTGGCACATCGTTTATCTTTGGCTGTGTGCAGGATGCAGAATATTTAATCGGAACTTTGTTTCAGCGGGAGGTCCTTTTTTTTAAAAGCTTGGGTTTTAGGAGTTATTTTCAGAGGGATATTGTGGAACGGTCATGCTTAATTGGGACCCGTGGAATAAAAATCCTTGCAGCACACACTGATAACCTCCTTCAAATCTGGAGAAAAATAAAATGAGGACATGGTTCGGGTCTATTTTCTCTCTCCTAATCACTGCACTTATAGAAGCAAAGAACAGGCAACATGCGTGGTGACACAATTGGCTGATGTGTGATACTAAGAAATGCTGTTGAATGCATACTGAAGCTTCTCTGCAACTATAAGGGGGTGATATTGAAAACTGTTTGTCACTACCACTGCTCCTCGTGTAATTAAGTTCATGAGGTTATATCTAAAGTTCACAGAGGCTTGCAGCGATTTGAGAATTACATTTTTTTTTTAAAAAGGGGGCAGTGAGGACTGTGCGTGGCATTACTTAAAATACAGATTATTTTCTAAACCAATATAATAAGATATATTTACACAAGAGAGAACTGGGGTTGTCTTACAAAGCTGGATTATGACATCAGCTGGATGAGTTAAAAAAAAAACCTCACAAATCTGTAATGTATTTTAATCCACTTCTTTTTTTTTCCAGACCTTGGTAGCATAGACAGGATGGTGTCCCTTCTTTTCTTTTTTTTTTATGTATTTAGATGTACACAACAGTAACATGTGGTTTGTGTGTCAAAGGATTTGAAAATGATCATGTAAAAAGTTTACTGGCCAAAAGTTCACTGCATCTAACAAATATATCTAAAAGCTCTGGAATGATATTCTCTCTGTGTTTCTTTTACTATTAAAACGTCATATCATACTTTAAATGCTAAGCAGTTTCACTGAAACTTTATTTTGATTGACAGACCGAAGCATGCCTCATATATTGGGGTAATCAAAGTCTGACAATGAGACTCAATGCTGATATATTTGAGAATAGAGTCAGCCAAATAAAGGACTTAAAGTTAACCAAAATGAAACAAATTACTTAAAAGATTGGAGGATATTCCTATAGGGACTTATGTCCTTTTCATAAAAATGCTAGTCTACTAGTCTGAAGTTAAGAAAACTATTAGAGAATAGTTCAAACTGAGCAGAATTTACTTAACACAGCTTAGCACATGATCACAGCTAGCACCAATAGCCTTAGGTCCACCTTGCAGGTTAAAGTCCACATGCCTTGCTAGATGTTGTCACACATTGCTCAGGTCTAGTGGTTAAATGCCAGTTGAACCTGACATAGCCTACAAACATCATCATCTCCATTTTCTAGATCCAATTACTCTATGAGATGCCATCTGTCCACTATGGTTTACATCTGGGTAGTAGAGCTGCATTACAGCTTACAACCAACCACATGTTCAGCATTACAGGCCTTAATTAATATAAATATAAATCCTTAGTTTATTAGTACTTTAGGTGACGACTAGTGAGGATGACGATGTTTAATCATTCCGTTGGCTAATTATTCTTACCAATTTTAAATTCAATTCAGGTTTATTGAACTTTAAAGCATACGTTAGAGCCGACCATTCCTATTGCTGATAATAATCGTGATTATATGTATAATTTATTGACTAGAATAAATAGCCATGCAAAGACATGTCACATTCGATAAAAGGCTGTACAAGATCAAAGCCCTGATGGACAGTCAAAGACTTCTAACACTCTGGAGTTTAACCATTTATTCCCCTTGGACCCCTGTCATGAAGCATGCTAATCTCGCAAGCAGCAGGTGGTACAACTGAGATAGCACAACAAAGATGGGGGCTGCATTATATGCAGATCACATGCAAGTTTGTTGTTAAAAACGTATAGGCTCATACATGGGATTCTCTGCACACTTGAGGGGCACACATTATAACCTTTGCAGGACCAAACCACACACGTCCTGGTCCAATAAACAATAGACTAACGAAATACGGGAAGGAAAACTGCTCATTGTAGCTTGCTCCTGTTCTTTCATTATTTTCCAACCTGGGGATTCTGTCTTTATAAAGCCATTATGCATGATGGTATTTACCCTTAGAAGGAGATGTAGGTGACCTTCTCTGACATGACACATCCTCCTGCTTTGACCTCAGGGACACCTTTGGACTTAATTCCTTCTTCTCCAGACCGGAGGACAGCCGGAACTTTAACGTATCCCTTGCCACTGAGATCTCCTAGAGAAAATAAAGTTTCAGACATCTCATTACCACGCACAACAGTTTACATGTATGAGTGTTTGTGACAGAATGAAAGAGTAAGAGTACCTGGGTAAGGGGATGTTAATATGTATATTGGAATATTACTAAGAACACAATACCGAGAAGAAAAAATCAAGAGGCCTAAAGAGAAGTGATCAGGCCACAAAAATGTAAAAAATGGACAGAATACCAGAAATGTTTTAGACCTTCAGGCTTTTTACACCTGCTGTTAACAGGCATCCTGGGTGATGGAAAGTGCCAAGAGAACATCTGTACACATCTGGCATTAACATGTATCTCCTGTGGCCGTGATTGGTTAACACTTTTTTTTGTTTTCTGCAAATAAACCAGTAAAACTATGATAAACTGCCTTGGGGTTACATTTCTAAGTGGGTCCATGTTTTGTGTCGTCTCATCTGCTTTCACACTAAAATAATACAGGGTGTGATGTGTCTTTAATTCATCTATTAAGCTTGCATGTGCTTTAAATCAGTGGTTCTCAACTGGTGGGTCGGGACCCAAAAGTGGGTCGCAAAGCCGTTTTCAGTGGGCCGCGAATATGTGACTGGAAAAAGAAAATTGTCAAAAGTCTATAAAGCACTTTTAAAACTTGTTGGTTTTGTTCCTTCTCTTTGTTCCGTTACATGTTTTGTACAATCTGAGGTCCAAACTACACAATTTTTCATTCAATAAATCTGATTGGTTGAAAGAATATCAGAAATCTGGGTCACAATTTTCATGAAGGAGTTGGTGGTGGGTCCTTAGGCCAAACCAGTTGAGAACCACTGCTCAACACAATCATTGCAGTGAATACAGAGTGAAGGCTTTCCTTAAAAGAGGTCTAAAAGTATGTAAAAAAAAAATAGGACAAATGTTTTACAAATGTGGGGACTGGATCCAAATGTGTCCTAAATGGGTTGGTTGCAATTACAACTCCATTTAACACTGACATTTGTGGTTAGATCAATCATGATACATGTTAACACCAGGAGTAAACAGGGCCTCTCGTTCTCTCTCTCCCCTCTGTGTGACATGTAATTGTCACTTGACCCTTTCTGTGACAACATAACAAACAGGAACACACAGGTAGGAATGAGGGGATTTCCCACTATTGATCGCAGATTAGTAGGTGCTAATATATCAAACACATGAACGGCAAGGAGCATGGAGGTCACAGTGACCTTGACCTGTGACAACCCAAATCTAAATCAGTTAATCCTTGACTCCAAGTCTGCCAAATAAAGATCATTCTCTACAGGAGATTCTGAAATATCATGTCCATAAGCCTTTCAATTCCTTCTCGGGGAAAAACATCATCATTTATCAGACATTAGTTTGAGGTTGGATCATAATGAGTGTATGAGCTACTGAATTATGGCTAAAGATGTTCTTGAGAGAAACAGATGTATAAAACTGGAATGAATGATGAAGATGACAGAAATAGGAGATATGTGGTTTCATTAAATTGTTTATTTTCAAATGCCTAAGCTAGGTGCAAATGTACAACTAAAATGTTCAAAGTTAAGTCATTTGATTCCCCTAATGATGTTTTAGTTATGTAGTCAGGAGTGTGCTTGAAAAACTGATGTAATTTGAGCTTTTAAAGATACTGTATAATAATGACAACACATAACTTCCTGCATCACAAGATGCCACAAAGTAAATACGACAGTTTTTTTCATCTTCAGGGGAAAATACTGCGTGACTGCTTAAAGGTGCTGGGGAAAGGCGTCGTGTCTTGACACCTTTCAATGCTCTCTTTACATTTTGTTCCTCTGACAAAGAAGTCCCTCTGTGCCGTTGTGTTACCTGAGCTGTGCCTGCAGCCGAGAGTGGCACGGGGCTCTGAGTCTTGGCAGACATTTCTGTGCTGTAGACCATGACTCCGTGAGGGTTTGGCTTTGCACCTCCTTGCAGAACAAGCTGGAGCTCTTCCCCAATCCAGTCGGCTGGCTGCTGAAAGGGGCACCAAACCCCCCAACGAAGGCACTGCAAGAAGGCCGCTCGGGATGTGGACGTGGTTGACAGCTGTGTGATGGAAACAGTCATAGAATAAGAGGATGTGCTGAGAATGGCATGACAATCATGGTTTATATATTGAATAACAATCTTGATTAACTTATTCATAACCCCATAGGAAATAATCTGTCTCTGCAGTAGCCTGAAAGTCAGTTTCAACTGACCTGAAACTCAAATATGTGTTGACAGCTACATTTTCTGAGTTACAGTTTTTGTATTGAACTCAAATTAACACTCAGTGATAAAAAAAAAATAAAAAAAAGATTTCAACTATAAGCAGGGGTTTTAAAGTTACAGTTAGGCTGTGTGCATGCAGCTGCAGAAAGAGCAATACTTTGCATTTAAACAGCTTGGTTGCTGATGTTTTCATTACATTTCATAACCGAGAATACAAGATCACTGTTATCCCCCAGGACTGACATGCGTGGGAGCCGGTTTCAAATGGTGTTGGCTTTATATGAATCTGATTTGTGCATGCATATAAAAATGTTTGTTCAACCCATATAACATACAGCAAGAGCTCCAATTAGGGCCACAGCTACCCCCCAATATATCTTACATGTGTCAACTTCTAACTCTGGAAGTACTCCCTCTACTGTCTTTCAAAAAAAATGTGACCAGTCCATGTTGCCTGTAGGTAGGGGTGGTTGAAGCCATTATTCTGATGTCTTTCGCAGGGCATGGTACAAAGGCTGGATCCTTTATTGTAAGTGTGGTCAACTACAAACTTTCAAAGCAGCCTTTCCAGCCAGCAGGGAGACACTGTTTGGTGGGTGAATAGTAGATTTAGTTTTCCTTCCAGTAATTACCTTTTCATAAAATCCCCTTCATATGTACACACATTAGATGCAGTGCATATTTGAGGCTCTGATAACAGGTGCTCAAAGCACAACGCAGCAGCGGTTTCAGCCTAATGTAAAGCTACCACAAACAGTAGATTAGTGTGTAATCCTTATTGAGGGCTTATTCAGACAGTTGGAGGGAAATGATGCTTCATATATCTTTCCACTATGTAGTGGTAGTAGTGGTCATTTCCACTAATTCACAAACACACTCAAAATCATTTTGACAATTTAAGAGAGCTTTATACAAAAAAAGGGTCGAATTTCCTTTAAGCTAAGGGGGATATTGAAGTGCAGTGGGTCTACATACTCTAATAGCTGACATTTCCATATGGTCGATACATTGTGTTCCTAAACACTGTGTCATACATTGAGTCCAGGAGAGGCTTTGCTGTGTTTGAACATGATTTACAATCAATCCCATTGCATCTCTACTTCAGCCAACCAAGAAAACAAAAAGATCCTTTTGCTTTAAATCATCCACAGGGGACTGAGAGGTTTTGCTGAATCGATTAATAAGCCAGTCAGTCTCAGCCTATTGTAATCCATCATATGTAGTGCAAGTAGAGAATACAAAAAGGAGGGTGATAGTCCACATTGTTTCAAGACAAACTGGAGCATATAATGGTTCACTCAATGATTTCAATTCCCCCTGAGCATGATTATGACATGTAATATCGTAAGCCAATACTATAGGTCATCATTCATAAGTATAGTCTTTACTCTAAATGTCATACCGTGTCCACTGGGTGGTATTATGGAATACAGGATGTGCCTCCAGTAGTCTTATAGCAGACTGTGCAAATGGCGGAGATGTTCCTCGAGTGCTTTTGTTGTGGAGCACAAGCTCTGATAAGTAGACGGAGAATCTGTTTAATGCACTTAATATCATCATCATCCTTTTTAGGGTAATCGAACCACAAAGCAATGACGTTGGACTCAGAATCACAGGATGTGTACTAAACAAAGAACATTATCTGAACAGGCGGATGATTCCATAATCAGATGTGTATGTGTGCGTGTGCTTGTGCGTGTGCTTGTGCGTGTGCGAGTATCAAAACAGGATCTTATGACTTGGCTAAATCTAAAGGTCAACAACTGGTTCATGGCCTTTTGCTGTCCAAACTGTGTGTCTCTTTAAAGTTTCAATCTTTCAAACTCCAACCCTTTTCTAGCCAGAAATTAGTAGTAACCTTTTTATTGCATGATGCAGCACAATCTGATCATATGATATAATTATATAATCATATAAAATGGTTCTTGAAGGGTTTTTGACAAAATGATGAAATTATATGTGCTGAATCATCAACACTCTGGGTTAGTCTTAGTTTGTATACAACAAGACATGACCTTGAGGTTGCAGTATTCTTTGCATATAGGAGATGTTAGCAGCAATAAGACAAAAGGAAAACACTAGTCTGATTTAAAACTCAGCTGTCCTCAGAATGACCAATTCTTTTAGCAGACAGAGAAAAAGTCTGCACAAGGCTGAATGCTATCAAACATTTAATGGAAAAAAGAAACAAACGACGATTCCCAGTCACCTCCACAAGGAGTATATACAGGATGAAAACAACATTGTTTTTCTTTATTGATTTATTTATTCTATTTCCTTCTGCAGCCACAGCTCTATATTCCCACAGAGACCAACCAGTTCACAGTGATACACAACTGGCAGAACTTTAGTTGTAATTCCCAAGAGAGGAAAAGCAGGGTGGCGTATGACATTGCATGAAACAGCTACATCGGGGAAGAAATACATAGTTGAATCATCAGGGTGTCTGAAAAAGTGACACAATCTTCACTCTATTTATGACCACTAATAATCATACACCCCCCAGTGGTGGAACGAACTACCAAACTCCATTTGATCTGCAGAGTCCCTTTGCACTTTTAAGAAAAAAGCTAAAGACCCAGCTCTTTCATGGCACTTAATGATGATAACAATGATAATTTTAATGGTCTTGTTTGATATTGACAGTGACATTATTTAGGATGGTTTCTATACTGATTAGAGCTCTCAAGAACAGCTGTCCATGTTGTGCTTTGCCTCTGTGCACTGCCTCTCAGCACCTGTGTGTCCAATCAGAGTTAAAGCTGTTAGTTTGCGCTTACTGATGTTGTTTCCTCTTCTCTTGAGCCTTGCTTGTGTTGTACTTACTCTCTGATGTATGCCGTTTGGATAAAACGTCTGCTCAGTGAATTGTAGAATTGAATTGTAGGTCATGAGATAAAAAAACGAGCCACCTTCGTCCACAAAGGACAACAGATAAATAGCAGAGCTCCAAAAACAAAAAAACAAACTATTATTGTATCATGCAATCTTTTTTTTACCTTTCACATGTTCAAGACACATTGGAAGTAGATTGTTGGATTTTAAAGGGTTTCCAAAAGTTTGACTCAATACTAAAAGGAAATAGTCAAATCAAAATGTTGAATAGTAGGGTTTCTGCTAACTGACAGACGCTTTTAAAAGAAGCATTTGAAGCATTGGAGTAGGTTGAGAACAGAAGTCATGCTTGGTTGCAACATGTAACATGAGCAATATAGACTTCCACTTACAACTGTAACTGCAATAATAAGACAGATTGGTTATCATGTTGTTGATTTAAAAAACCTTAATGTCCATGTGTGATTAAGGAGAATGTTGTTCACATATTTGATGTTGCTTCTGCATTTCATTAAAAGGTCAGCAGAACCTTTAAAGGAAAATGTAAGTTACTAAATATTCCTCTTGTGATGAAAATAAAACATGTTGGTGTAAATGAGCAGTTTCAGGTGTTTGTGAAAGCCTAGAAGCCAAATGGACTGCACTTTAACACCACTCTTCTCCTTTAATGGACCAGAGGCTCTACAGCTTGCCTCTCATTCATCCAATCACACTGTGATTGCAGTGGAGCCGCCTTTCAAGGAGCCGGCCTGCACCTCAAGCTATTCCATAAGAATCCTCCAAGCTTAATGACAGAGCAGGGTTTTTTTTTTTTTTTTAGATATGCTGTTCAGAATGGCCCGACCATTCTTATGATTGTTTTCTGATCTGCCACCTGTATGTTGAAGGTTTGTTTCATTTAAGGTGAGAAAAGGTTGTAAAGAAAACCATGTTGACATTTGGCACATAAATCTGAAGTGAACAGCAGTCTTGTATAAAGTCACATCCTTTGATGACTAACCAGCTCAGCCTGTTCTCCTCCTGAAGAGGTTTTTTTCTGCCATTATCCACACTGCCATGAGAGGTCCTTGTCAGGTAAACAAAAACAAGGATACATTTTTAGACAAACAATTATCGCTACCTTTTGGTTTCTGGAGAGGCCATTTTTAAAAATGTCATATTATCATACATTATGCAGAGTAACTTTGCTGTCCAGTTAGCTTGCTGTCAAAGCCCAAAGTCAAGTGTTCGGATAGGTTAATGGAGCTGGCATTTTGAACACTACAACTGCTTGCGCAATTCAACAGAGAATAAGAGCACTGAAGGTGAAAAGGTTCAAAACATGTCAGCTAAATCAGAATAAACAAATCTTAACACCCCTCCCCACACACACACACACACACACATACACACAAACATCTTTTGAAAATTGCATGGTTTGCCTTTTCCAAAGCCAACATTTGGAAATGACTCACAATTTCCTTCCTCCATAAAGTCTCCAGGATGGCCCTGTCTGTTTGATTTGTGTCGCACTTTTAAAGACTAAATATATATGTACAGATTGGTAATACACACTACAATTGCAAATATTGCTATGAACCAATCATGGCACTCAGTCCGTGTGTGAAATGTTGTTTATGTGAATCTTAGAAGACCCCCTACAAAACGTCGGACCCCACATGCAGATCAATACTCCATTCCTCTAAAGAAAGAGTTTGTCTCATACTATAATTTTGCCCCCAAGTAGCACAGGCATTAAAAGCTACTTCTTTGAATTGTAACTCCAGAAATATATAGCTGCCATAAAACAGATAGCAGACATTTATTCCCCACTGAGGCACTGCCTGTTTTTCCATCTAATGGGGTTGAATTAATATGATTCTTAATATGAAACATTCAATCAAACAAGTCTACTTTCAATGCACATCATTTGTAAGAAGATCCAACTGAAGAAAAGATCATTTAATGGTGCAGGGAGTAGCCAGTAAAAAATACAGTAGTCAGGCAATTTATCCAAT